TCCACCATGAAAAACGAAATAAATTATTAGGTTTTTAAATGGATTTGAAACTCCTAGATCTTTTGAGATTCATTGAACTTTTCAAAGGCATGTTTCAATCTCTAGTGTGCCCTTCAGGTTTTGTGACTGGGATGCCGAAGATCACAAAACAAGGTGTGAAGTAACCATGCAAATTACTTGGTACCCTTAAGTGTTTACCCCTCAATCGATGTGTCGGTTAACCACACACGCTCCATCGATACTATGATAAACATTAAGTTACCATTTGACTACCTTGTTAAATACGAGTTAGTGTGCCGGTTAACCACACACGCTCCACTAACCGACTTAAACAAAGTGCAAAGTGTAATTTCATGGATTAGCACCTTATTCACATTTTCCTAAGTAACTAAGATTGGGTATTTATAAAAGGTTTAGCTACTTAGTATTTATCATTAATACTTTTAATGAAGGGAAAATTTATAGTCTTTGTCCTACCCGTTCGGCTAACGACCCTCCACCAGTCAAGGAAGCGGTGGGTGAGAGTGGACACCCATTAAACTGCCATTTTATAAGGGTTGAATTTTAACTTTTAAAATTCTAAGGGCTAAACTTGGAATTAAAGTATTCATAAGAGAAAACTTTTCAAATTCCAAAACTTGAGGGCAAGTTTTGTAACTTTCAAAACTTTTCTATTCCATAACTTATGTGTTTAAAGTAGTTTTAATTAAAAAAACTCTTCAAGTTCCATAACTTGAGGACAAGTTATGGAAGACTTTAAACTAATTAAGAAAGTGACTCTTCATAATTCATAACTTATGGAAGCTTTATGAGATTAACTAAGGTTACACATATTTTATTTAATGAAGAGACTCTTGAACCTCCACAACTTGAGGACAAGTTATGGAGTCATAAAACCATTTAATGAGAACAAGACTCTTCATTTTGTAACCTATGACAATTTTATGAGTTTTAAGAAACTTAAATGTGACTTTTCATGTAACTTGAGGACAAGTTACACAAACACATTTTAGAATAAACTTTTAGATTAAAAAGGATTGAAAACAACTATTCAATTAACTTATCTATTAATCTAAGCAACTCATATGAACAAAGATAATACACATCAAACTTTTTCATGTAATTAGCATAGCACTTAAACTAATACAAAACATGAATCTATTGACAATTATCTTTGAAATTGGATTAGTATGAACATTACCACATCAAAAATAAGTTTATAAGTCCAAAAACAGCTTAGGGTAATGTCCTCGTCCATTTCTAGCCAAAACAATCGAATATATGCTGTCTGGGGGTCCAACTCGTCGAGTTCACGAACCAACTCGGCGAGTTGGATGCATTTTGTCTTGGACTCGGCGAGTTCATCAGTGGACTCGGCGAGTCCAGTGCCCAGAAAGCCAGAAAATCGATTTTTTCAGCATTTTTCAGCAATTTGCATCAAGTATAATTGAAAACAAGCCTAGGCTCTGATACCACTGTTGGGTTTTGAGCATTCTAACACTCCTATGGTGTACATGCAACCCTATAAACCTTGGATCTATGTTTTCTCTATTATAAATGCAAATAAGAACTTTCCAAGGCTTTAATCCTAACTAGCATATTATGAAGCTCTTATACTACAAAGTACTAGTTAGATGACATACCTTTTGATGTAGCTTGATTTCTTCAAGCTTTAAGAGCTTAGCCCCAATAGTGTGGAAGCTTCAAGTGGAATCACAAATCACCAAAACACCTTGGAAGACTTTGAGAATAAGAATACTTTGGTTCTCTCTAGTGAAATCGGCTAGCCCTCTTAGTGTACCCACACTAGTGCCAATTTCACCAACCAAGGACATCTTTATATAGTATGGAGACTAGGGTTAAACCCATGACCTTTCATTTCATATGATCCATGGGTTAAACACTCCATGGATTATCCATGAAAGCTTAGCCCAACCTAAATGAACTTGACCCATTCCATATATATAAGAGTCCATATTTAATTAGTTCATTTTGATCACTTAATTAATTCTAAATTAAGTCTTGATCAATACTAATTAAATAATATGATTCCATATTAATATATTAGAACTTATAATATATTAATATAAATCATAAATATACTATTCTCAAAAGACTATCCATATAAATTGTGTCGGTGAAGTGCAACCCAAATGGACCATGCCGGGTCGGGTCAAGTACATACCAAATATAGTTATGGACTTAGACATTAATCCAACAACTATATATTTCTCAAAATATGCATTTAAGCTCAATAGGTCAAATTACAAAGAGGTTCACGGTGAACTGACTGTCTACTGTTTTTGACCTAAATTTTGGGATGTCACATGTTGCTTCCCAAGAGTTATGGATTTGGCATGTTTTTTCGGGGTTGCGGGTTCCAAAAACGACATAAATGTTCTTGATCAGTCACCAATATTCAATGATCTTTTGTCAGGAAAGACACTAAATGCTCCTTTCACAGTGAATGGACATGAGTATAAGTTTAGGTACTACCTTACAGATGGAATACGTATTCAATGTTTTTGAAGGCGTTTCGACGCCCGGTAGACCCAAGAGGCAATTTTTTCAAGAGAATACAAAAAGAAGCACGTAAGGACATGGAATGTGCTTTTGGAGTTTTAAAATCAAAATGACACATAGTTCAACATGCAGCATGACCATGTGAGTTAGAAACTCTACGAGATATTATGTATGCATGTATCATAATGCATAACATGGTGATTGAATATAAAGGACAAAATATTGTTGATTATTCACCTACAAAACCTAGACATGTGCAATTTCAACCAGGGACAACGAAATATTGACATAGAGTTCTTGATATTCAAGACCAACGAAAACACAAGCAACTTCAAGAAGACTTGACAGATTATATATACGATGGTAGCGAAGATGAATAATTTAAGGAAAAAATTGTAACTTTTTTGTCTTTTAGTGTTTTTTTTAAATCTTTTTGTCCTTTGTTGTATTTTATTTTAAATGTTATGTTTAATTTAGGATTTATTAAAATATCATGTTTTATTGATTTCTTTATTTTATAATTATTCAACAAAACAAAATAAAATAAAAATAAAATAAAAAATAAATGATGACATGGAAATTAGATAGCGTTATAACATGTTATTTAGTGTTGTCTATTTCCACACTTAGTGTTATAACACCATATATGATTACGATGATGAGGTGACAACTTTTGGGTGTGATAGCATATGATTACATGTTGCTCACACCCATCGGCCTAAAACATACCTCATGAACGGCGTTGAACATAGAATTTTGTAGGGGTGTCGATGAGTCTTGAGACAATTGTGCTTGTGAGTCGCAACTCGTTAGTCATGAGTACCCTTATCTTTTAGTAGGATGGGAAATGAAAGGAGCTAAACATTTAATCAGAAATTGAACATCCATAATTTTAAAACTAAAAAGTTTTTTGAAAATTGAAAAAAGCTATTAAAATTATTTTTAATTCAATATTTTTTTAAAAAGTTTGCCAATTAATAATTTTTGCCAAAAGTTTTTTTGTCATTAATGGTAGGTTTTCAACCAATTACGAATAAAATCAATAAAAAAACAATTTAAAAAGTTTTCTTTTGCAAATATAAAAATGAGCTTTTATAATTAAAGTTTTTTTTCCATTAAAAAGCTTTTCTAATATAGATCTTTTTACAAAGAAAATCTTCATAAAAATCATAATATTTTGGGTCGGTTTACAAAATAGTAAAAAATTAATTTTTTTTAAAAAAAAATCTACAACCCGATAAAATGTTGCATTCTGACCATTTTTTCCAGATTTAGCTAGTAACAAATTAATTTGAGACTATTTCGTAAACTAACCCAAAATATTAAGACTTTTCTACAAAAACCAAAATATTGGGACTATTTCGTAAACGACCCAAAATATATAAGAAAACATTTCTATATATTTTTACACGTTAAGAAACGTTTTCGAAGTTCTTATTTTTTTATTTAAACGTATTTATATGTATTATACATGTGTAAATACCATGTGTCCATATACACTCATTTTTTTATACATATATTTAATAATACGTATATATACATTTAAATGAAAAAAGGAATTTTGAAAACGTTTCTTAAGGTGTAAAAATATATAAAAACGTTTTTCACATATATTTTAGGACAATTTATGACATAGTCCAAATATTTAGGTTTTTGTTAAAAAAATTCTAATATTTTAGGTCAATTTACGAAACAGTTACAAATTTATTTGTTACTGGCTGAACCGGAAGAAATGGTCGGAATGCAACCTTTTACCTGTTTTTAGGATTTTTTTTGTAAAAAAAATAATTTGAGACTTCCGTAAAAGACCCAAAATATTGAAACTTTTATAAAGATTTGAGACCACATAATTGTTTACAATACTCAAATTTTTATTAACTTTATTAGACTCGGCACTACCAAAACCTTTTTGATTCAAGGAAAATAACACCCCAATGTCTTACAATCTGGTGTCCACAGATCCTCAGGCTTTGAACAAAGGAGACACCAAAGCTTGTTGAGTTTGAGTGCTTCGCTTACCATTGTGGAGCAGCTAACATCATTCAAAAAAGAATCAAATGTAAAAAGTGGTGTTTATGAATTGGAAAGTATAAAGGGATCAAGTAAGCAAATTTTGAGGATTGAATAATTTCCCAATTTGCACAAAGTTTTGTTCATCATTTTGGACTTTACGCAATGACCGTCTACAATACCAATTGATATATAAAATTAAACAAAAGTAATTGAAATAAGAAAGAAATTTCAATCACCTATGATTGCAGTTTCTTTTCGTCGGTGGTCATATAAACAATCATAGCAGTGGAAAAGTAGTAATATAAGAGTAATCGAGTTTGAAATTTGCAAATGGTTAACCAGCAAAACAAAACCCACAAAACAGCAAACCAAAATATTTAAATAATAAGTTGCAAGATCCACGTAGACCAATAGTGGTTCTTAAGGTCTTGAAAATGTTGTACACATGGGAATTATGTAGTCCATCACGCATCTAAGACACTAACATTCAAACAATCATGAGGGAAGTACCACATCAATTCATAACAGAACATGCACTGTGGACTTTTATTGTCATCAAGAAAGTAACCACAGCTCCTGTATTGTGTCTGAGGTTCAGGCCATGACTCCGGCTTAATAGCAACACAAGAAGTGAACCTGCTAAGAAAGAAAACACATTCTCCTGTTGTCTTTTTCGGAGAGACCCATTTCATTTCACCAAAATCTAATTCCATAACCTTTCTCGATGATGATGAAGACCGATATATCATATAAAGCTTTTCTCCCGAACTTACAAACTCTGGTAGAAACCAGTTTTGCTTTGGATGATTTTTGGTTTCGAGTAAAGTCCATTTGAGATTTTGATTCTGATCAAGTTTGAGTTCACATAAAGAAAAATCCTTGAGTATGCTATATATCTTCCCCTTTACAACATGTAAATCAAAGATATCGGGAGTGGGGATAGCGGAGGAGATATGATTCCAGCCTTGTTTACCCGTTATAGAAAATGATATATTTTTTCTATGTAACACAACAAACACACGCTCAGATATTGAAGGTGAAAAGACAAGGATACCCTTGATAGCCCTCATTTGTAGTTCATGAGCACTTACACTTAAGGGGTAATGGGGGAAATGAAGTTCATCCCTTGTGATAGGATTCACAAGCCAGAAGTCGCAGGTTTCCCTTCCGAATAAGATAAGGTAACCACAAGTCAATCCGAAATAGGCCCTGCATGAAGAATGTGTTAGGATCGAGACACTTAACACACAACTCTAAACACACACACAGCTCACGAAAAACAAGAACACAAGGATGAATATGAGGGATTTAACGTGGTTCGGTCCTTCTCTGACCTACGTCCACCGGTAACTAGGAATTTACATTTCTTGGTGCTAATCTGCACTCTTTCTTTGTTACACTAGATACTAGTTTTACAAATACAGAATAATCTCTTATATAGAGATGGAAATCAGAAGTAGTCAAAAAACACAACTGGGTCTTCATTCAACAATTGTGGCTTCACAACTTCACATTGTTCCTGCCATTTTTGACCAGCTTTTCTGTGGATTCACACTCAACATTTCTGTGGATTCACACTCAACATTTCTGTGGATTCATACTCAACAATCTCCCACTTGAAGCCACGGAACAATCTTCACCTGTGCTTCAACTGTGCATCTGTATTTGATCTTAACTCCTTCCTAGTTACCCTGGCCTTCTCTTCAATTAACCTGAAGGCCAGTTGAAGCTTTCGTTAGCTCCAACGCATCAGTCATGGCTAAGTCTGCCACGGAACTGTTCTCTGTCTCCACCGGCTCCCACTGAAATGAACTGCCCGATCCTGGAACATCCTGAGAACAAACGACACTCTCCATGTGAAGCAGATAATCTGGAGAGACTTTTACAGATGGAATACTGGTTCTCTTAACCCACTGTGTTCTGGGTATTCTAGCTGAAACAAAGCCCATGCTCCCACTGCTATGAATGCCCTTGACTGGTTTTTCTGAACCGTTCCAAACACGTTCAACCTGAATCTGACCTGTGACTCTGGGTTTGCCATCTGCAAAGCAAATCTTCTTCTGTCCACGAGACTCTATGAACCGGATTTTGTTTTTCTTCTGAACTGGGACGGTTACTCCCTCAGACGGTAAATTGACCATATATAATGAACCACTCTTATGTCCAGAAGCTATCACAAGATTTCTTTTGACAACCTTCCACTGCCCATTCCTGAACTTAACCTCATGTCCCTGTTCATCCAACTGCCCAACAGAAATCAACTGTTTCTTCAGACTTGGAATTACCCGGACATCCTTCAAAGTCCATGGACCAACTGGAGTCTTCAAAACTAAGTCACCTATGCTCGTCACATCAAGAACCTCATCGTTCGCCAGTCTTACCTTACCAAAATCCCCTTCTTTCAGATTCCGCAGTGCTTCACGGCTGTGGGTAGCGTGAAATGAAGCACCCGAATCCATAACCCAGGAATCCACATTGCTCTCCACACTACAGATCAAAACATCATCATCTGAATGGTCTACTGCAACGTTAACTTCTTTCTTGTCTTTTGGACATTGATTCCTGAAATGTCCAACCTCTTTCCAGTTCCAACAAGTCACATCATTTCGAGTCCTCGACTGACTCCTTCTCTTGTTCCCGCTTCCGCTACCTCTGTTATTTCTTCTACCTCTGACCGCATTCAATTGTTCACTTGATGATTCCCCGGAATTTCTTCGTCTGACGTCTTCGCCTAGAATTAAATCCCGAATTCCCTCAAAAGTGAGCTCTTTCGATCCTGCAGAACTAGTAACGGCTGTAACTGTTCCGGACCAACTGTCAGGTAATGATGATAACAGTAGTAAAGCTTGAACTTCGTCCTCAAATTTTATTCCCACTGACCCATGTCTGGATAAAATCGAGTTCAAATTGTTGATGTGTACTGTAACTGAACTTCCTTCCCTCATCCTCGTGTTGACTAGTTCCCGAATCAGGAAGACTTTATTTGCTGCCGACGGCTTCTCGTACATATTAGACAATGCCTCCATGATTCCCTTTGCCGAGGTCTCCTTCAAAATGTTGAAGGCAACATCCTTTGACAAAGTCAGTCTAATAAATGCCTTGGCCTTCTTATCCAAAGTCTCCCAGTTTGCTTGTGTGATCGCCTCCGGTTTTTCACCTAAAACTGCGTCCAAGTCTTTCTGTACGAGCAAATCTTCAATTTGCATCTTCCACCAACCAAAATCTTTCCCATCAAACTTCTCAATCTGAAGCTTACTGCTTTCTGCCATTTTCTGAAAGATTAGGGGCTAAACTGTAATTTTCTGAAAGTTCAGGGGCTAAACTGCAATTTTCTGAAAGTTCAGGGGCTAAACTGCAATTTTTCAAATCTGCTACAGTGTTGCTACAGTGTTGCTACAGTGTCGTCTTCTCCGGCGGAACTCCGGTCTACAGTGTCGTCTTCTCCGGCGGAACTCCGGTCTACAGTGTCGTCTTCTCCGGCAAAACTGGTTTTTCCGGTCACTATTCTGGTAACCTTTGACCGGCGATTTGGACGTCTTCCGGTGGTCAAAAAATTCAGAAAAAAATATTTTCGGAATCTTCGGAACGAGACCTTTCCAACGGTATACACAAAAATCGTTTTTGACGAAAAACAATTTCGACCAAAAACTTAAAATCACCTTCTGGAGCTACAACCTTGCTCTGATACCACTTGTTAGGATCGAGACACTTAACACACGACTCTAAACACACACACAGCTCACGAAAAACAAGAACACAAGGATGAATATGAGGGATTTAACGTGGTTCGGTCCTTCTCTGACCTACGTCCACCGGTAACTAGGAATTTACATTTCTTGGTGCTAATCTGCACTCTTTCTTTGTTACACTAGATACTAGTTTTACAAATACAGAATAATCTCTTATATAGAGATGGAAATCAGAAGTAGTCAAAAAACACAACTGGGTCTTCATTCAACAATTGTGGCTTCACAACTTCACATTGTTCCTGCCATTTTTGACCAGCTTTTCTGTGGATTCACACTCAACATTTCTGTGGATTCATACTCAACAGAATGGGGAATAATGGTTTTATATCTTCTTTCTTTCAAGTCCTCAAGGAAATAATACGAGTCTTCCTTATTAACATGGGGCCCGATGCTTATCTGCATGGGTGGTTTGGACGCCATAAACGTGTTCCTGTTTGAGACTGCAAGTGACCTCCATGACTTGCAAACTCCACCGAATGCAACAAAATCAACAACTCCCAGTTTCATCATAACTATAAAAAGCACATCATGGTTAACATCTGACCAAGATGCCACACCATTGTGGTCAAAATTCTTGAACCTCTTCCTGCTTGATGATGATGATGATGCATCATCATCATCATCATCATCATTTCTTGTAACACTCATTGTCTTGGCCATTCCTATATTTGAAAAAGGAAAATAAAAACCACATAAGATACAAGAGCTGCTGTAAACAGGGCACAAGCATACACATACAAACAGATAATACACTTCTCAAAACGTTGTAACCAAAGGAGAAAACATGTACACAAGAATCAGTAGACAGATCAATATTAGTCATACATAAGTTTTGAACGTCAAGAGCCCAGTCAGTGACTAATTAACCAAGTGAGATCCCAATGAGAACAACACATATATTGAGATGGGATTGAGCCAAAGATTCCTATAGGATAACCAAATTTAAATTACTCAACAAATACTACAATTGCAAGTGGAAACTGGTGCACCATTAGCCACTTCTGGTGATATGTCATATAATGAAATAGAAATTTATACAGGTTATCGCTCCCCCTATATTTTGTTACACACTTATCACAACACAACAAAATCAAATCAAATGTAGTTACATACTCCTTTTAATCAAATTAAGTTTATTTTTCAGATAATCAAAAGTAAATTTCACTCGGGCATTTATCAAACGGTTCATGTGCATAAAATTTAAAATATGTTGAAAAGATATATAAACTAAACTAGTAAACTGGATTGGAATTTGATAGAATAAAAAATATATCTGAAGAAAAAGGACAGCACATACCAGTATTTGCTAGAAGCGATTTTTGAACCACCGTTATTCAACGAAGATTCTTAACTAATAACTGATGCGTTCTAATTTCACAATCAAATGGCAAAACCCTATTAAGATGATCAACAGGAGGTTAAACCTTCAACACAAGGTTTTCACGTGAATATTCCAAAGAAAAAGTAGCATTCCAAAAGAAACCGCCGTTTCTGGTTTAGGGTTCGAAACAAAAAGCAAGCAAAACCAAAATTTTGGAAAGTCTAATAAACGTGGAAAAGAAATACTAAAAAGTCAAAACAAATTAATTTGACCACCAAATAAATAAATAAAAGGCCTGCACGATAATTAAAAATTCACACCAATTGAACCGGGTCAAGATTAGATGCTCCGTCATCATCCTCCCCCGCTTGGAAGTCTTCCTCGTCACTTGCGTCGTCCTCTACATCTGTTCCCTCATATGGTGCTAAATCCGACACATTAAAGGTAGCTGAAACGTTGTAACGACCCGACAGATCCAACTTATATGCATTATCATTTATTTTTTTCACAATTCGAAAGGGACCATCAGCTCTTGGATGAAGTTTACCAAATTGTCCACCAGGGAAGCGCTCCTTGCGCAAGTGCAGCCAGACCAGGTCGCCTTCTTTAAAAATGACTTGTCTACGTTTTTTATTAGCCTGCTCCCGGTAACGGTTGTTAGCATTGATAATGTTGTGTTGTACCTGCTGGTGTAGCTCCTTGATATGATCTGCATGTTGTTTTCCATCTGCATTATTCGGAGTAATTATCGGTACCGGAACAAGATCCAATTGTGTGATAGGATTTTACCCATAGACAACTTCAAATGGTGTTTTCCCTGTGGTCCTGTTAACAGATCGATTATATGCAAATTCGGCCTGTGGAAGAGCTAAATCCCACTGTTTGGGTCGATTCCCAACCAATCCTCGTAATAAGTTCCCCAAGCTTCTATTCACAATTTCGGTTTGCCCATCCGTTTGGGGATGATGGGCACTACTAAACTGTAGTTTGGACCCGAGGTTACTCCATAGAGTCCGCCAAAACTGTCCCACGAATTTAACGTCACGATCAGATGTAATAGTCTTGGGAACTCCATGCAACCTGACGATTTTAGCGAAAAATAAACGAGCCACTTGGCTGGCGTCATACGTTCGTGTACATACGAGAAAATGTGCCATCTTGGAGAAACGATCGACTACTACCATCACCGAGTCTTTTTGCCGTTGAGTTTTAGGTAATCCCAAAACGAAATCTAAACTAATATCCTCCCACAGGGCGGTAGGTACCGGTAACAGTAAGTATAAGCCCACGTTACTACCATGTATTTTGGCAACATGGAATACCCGACACCTTGCGATAATTAGACCAATGTCTTTGGTTAGTCTTGGCCAGTAGTAGCGTTCCCAGACCTGCCCTATAGTTTTGTCACGACCGAAATGACCGGCTAGTCCACCCGCATGGCTCTCTAAAATAATCGCATCACGTAAAGAGCTGTCGGGAATACACTATTGGTTTTCTCGAAACAAATAACCATCTCGTTGTGTGAATCGTTGAAATATGCTGCCCATATATCTTGGAAATCAGGATCATCACGGTATAGGTCACGGAAAGTGTCAAACCCAAGAACCTGCACACTCATTATGTCGAGTAAAGAATGGTGTCTGCTAAGGGCGTCAACCACCTGGTTTTGTGCCCCTGCCTTATGTTTTATAACAAAAGAAGATGCTTGTAATGTTTCAACCCATCTTGCATGACGGGGGTTTAATTTATGGATTCTGTTAATATACTTGAGGCCTTCGTGGTCGGAAAAAAGAACGAACTCTCTACCAATGAGGTAATGTCTCCACGTTTCAAGGGACCGCACGATGGCATAAAAATCCTTGTTGTACGTAGAGTATTTGCGACGGGCTTCGTTTAATTTTTCACTAAAAAAAGCGATCGGGCATTGGTTTTGGCTTAGAACACCACCAACCCCCACACCGGATACGTCACATTCTACCTTAAAGGCACACGAAAAATCAGGTAGGGCTAAGACCGGAGATTGTGTTACCTTGACTTTGAGTTCCTCGAAGGATTTAGAGGCTTCGGTTGTCCACTGAAAATGACCGTTCTTCAAGCACTCGGTAATAGGCGCGATGATTGTGCTAAAATTTCGTATGAATCGCCTCTAAAATGAAGCCAACTCGTGAAAGCTACGTATGTCATGTATGGTTCGAGGTACGGGCCACTCGATAATTGCTTCCACTTTCGTAGGGTCCATATTTAAGCCTTCCCCCAAAATAATATAGCCTAAAAATGTTACTTCTGGAACAAAAAAACTGCATTTCTCTCCATTAGCATATAGTTTTTGTGACCTGAGGACATTAAACACTTGGGTGAGGTGTTGCACATGTTGGTTTGTAGAGTCGCTAAAGATCAATATATCGTTAAAGTAAACAACCATGAATTTTCCAATATAATCCTTAAAAATCAGATTCATAAGCCTCATAAATGTACTTGGGGCGTTGGTTAGACCAAAGGGCATGACTAGCCACTCGTATAACCCGTCACGTGTTTTGAATGTCGTTTTCCACTCGTCACTGGGCCTCATTCTTATTTGGTGATACCGGCTACGAAGATCAATTTTTGAAAATACTTTAGCCCCGTGTAGTTGGTCAACAAGATCGTCAAATCAAGGGATAGGAAAATTGTACTTAACGGTGATCTTATTGACGGCTCGACTGTCGATACACATCCGAAATTTTCCACCGCTTTTTGGTACCAACAACACGAGAACGGCACATGGGCTCATGCTCTCTTGAATCAATCCATCGAGCAATTCAGAGACTTCTCTTTGTAGTTCCTCGTAATCTTTAGGATTCATGCGATAAGCGGGTCTATTCGGAATAACTGCACCAGGTACAAAATCGATGCAATGTTGAACATCCCTCATCAAAGGTAAACCTGGTGGAATTTCAGTTGGGAAAACATCGTTGAATTATGCCACTAGCGATTGGATTACAGGAGGGAGAGGTGAACTTGTTTGTTTATTAGACTCTAAAATTATTAAAGCAAAAAGTTACCTCCTGACTTCAAGTTACGTTGCAATTCTGCATGGGGTATAAAGAGAGAATTTTCTTTCCTTGGGTCTTGTTGTGGGACCAAGGGGGTAAGAAGAATATTTATTCCATCCTTCTTGAAACGATATGTTTTTTTGAAACCATCGTGTATGGTTTTTCGGTCAAATTGCCATGGCCGCCCAAGTAGGAGGTGGCATGCATCCAACGACACTACCTCACACCACACTTCATCCTTATACTTGTTGCCGATCGAGAATTGGACTAAGCATTTCTTATCAGCTGTGACCGTGTTCCCTTTTTTTAGCCATGCGAGTTGATACGGTTGAGGGTGGTTCTTTACTGGAAGTCCCAACTTTTCTACCATTAAGGTTGATACTACGTTCTCGCAGCTTCCTCCATCAATAATCACGTCACACACCTTCTCGTTAGTTGTGCATTTAGTTTGGAAGATGTTATTCCGCTTCCAGACATCCTTATCTGTATAATCTACTTGAGTGGTGTTTAGTACTCGCCTAAGCACTAACGATTCCCTGATATTTGCACCTATGATTTCCTCTACATCCGTCTCTGCGTTATCATCGATTGCTTCGTTATATTGTGTAATCGTGTCCTCGATGAGAGTCACCAGGTGCTTATTGGGACATTCACGTGCCACATGCCCTACCCCTTGACATTGAAAACACCTTAGAACTCGTGAGCCCGATGAACTTGATGGGTTAGAGGAGTTTATTTTGACTGTGGCTACCGGGTTAGGCGGGGAAACAGGTGGAATCTTAGGATTAGCAAAGTTTCGGGATCCCAATCTTGACTTTGCACGTTGTTTTTTGACTTTCAAAGCTAATTGGCATACATCATTATAACTACAGTAGGGTTGTAGGTTAATGACATCGACGATTTCTGGTTTGAGAGGCCCAAGGAATCGGGCTATGGTCTGTTCTTTTTCTTCCTCAACGGCACAACGTATCCTGAGTCGTTCAAACTCAGCGATGAAGTCGGTCACGATGGAGTTTTTCTGGGTAAAAGTGTGATATTCCATGAAGGCTTCCTGACAGTAATTGACGGGTAGAAATTTACCTTGTAACAACTTCTTGAACTTTGCCCACGTTTCAACTTTGGATTTTTGAGCTTGCTGGCGACGTATTTTTTCATGTTCCCACCATAGCGATGCAGATTTCCTTAGTTTAATGGCTAGGAGCTTAACCTTTAAGGGATCAGGGATATCTTTCAAGTCGAAGATCCGCTCTATGGTGCTTAACCAGTCTATGAAATCATCAGGATGGGATTTACCG